ACATAGAAATAAGGTGGTAGTAGTATTAGCAATAGTAAAAAAAAAGGCAGTGCGTGTTGTATTGGCGAAGAAATACACATATAACCCACACACAACGATTGAACGATTTAGAAGTCACACTAACACACGAAGGTGAGGGAGTCAGTATATATAGGAGAGGAGGACAGAGACTGGACAAAGAGGGAAAGAAGGAAGTGGAGAAGTAGTGGTAGAGGTAATGCTAGTATACCTAGAGGGTGCTTCGGGGGTCAACGCCCCCGCGGACCGGTCCGTGACCAGGCCTCGCGATGGATTATGGCCTGATTAACCAGGCTGTTACTACTGGCCACATGCAAACCAATGAACGAGCCACAGCCCGGTTGGTCGGGGATGAGTTTAGGTGCCTGTCAGCTCCTCCTTGAAGACAGCCAGGGATCTATTGGTAATCCCCTCTTATGTATGCTGGAAGGCAGATGAACAATCTTGGAAACCTGATACTTATTGTGTTGTTTCTTAACCTACTCACGGCGCTCATGCTTTTCATTGGGAGATGCTGCACCGCATGCCGAGTCTTTTTCTTTCTTAGGGAGTGATTTCCGTGTGCAGATTTGGGACTAGTCCATCTAGGATTTTCCAAGTGTATATTATGTACTTTACTCGCCTGCATTCCAATGAATACAGGTCTAGAGATGTCAACCGTTCCCAGTAATTTAGGTGATTTATTGTACTTACAACGTGCAGTGAAAGTTCCCTATATATTCTCAGGTCTGCAATTTTGCCTGCCTTGAAAGGGGCTGTTAGTGTACAGCAATACTCCAGCCTAGAGAGAACAAGTGATTTAAAAAGAACCACCACTGGCTTGTCATCCCTATTTCTGAAGGTTCTCATTATTCATCATAGCAGATGTGGTAGAGACACTGTTGTGATCTTTGAAAGTGAGATTCTCAGACGTTATCACTCTCAGGTCTTTCACATTAGTTTTTCGATCTATTTTGTGGTTGGACTTTGTTTTATACTCCGACCAGTTTTTAATTCCTCGAGTTTTCCATAGCGGAGTAATTGAAATTTGTCTTCATATGATATTTTATGATGCTCAGTTAAAGACTAGGTTAATTAATGTCGTCCCTTCAAGCCTTGCAATGTTCTGAATGGATGACACTGTCATGCAAATTCTAGTATCGTCAGCAAAGGAGGACACGGTGCAATTGCTTACATATCTATGTCAAATATGAGAATGGTGAAAAGGGTGCATGCGAGTGCTGTACCTTGTAGAACAGAGCTTTTCACTATAACTGCCTCTGACTTTGCTATGACTTTGTATTCTACTTGCTAGGAAGTTATAGATCCATCTGCCCACTTTTTCTGTTATTCCTTTGTCATACATTTTGAGCACTATTACACTGTGATCACACTTATCGAAGGCTTTTGCATTTGGCAACGTTATGTGAAACCACATTTATGAAAGCACAGATAAGACTTCGATTCATATTAGGAATGTTGTGTATTAGAGATACTTTAACAAGACGGTCTGTGAAAACTATATGGGTACGTAAGTTTATTTAGGCATAGGTACACATAAGTACAGTAATCATACCTAGTAACACGTGTAAATTACCTAGGTTAAGTAAATAACACAAAAAAAAGTTGGACAAAGTGACATAATTTCCATCTCCATTGGGTCCTGGGAAAGGATTTAAGACTCGGGAGACTAAGAGAAACTAGAATCGTTGACTGATTCTCATAGGTTATCCTCGTTTTTTAACCAACCACTGGTACAAATTGTCTAGAGAAAATGTGGAAACAATATTTAGCTGAGTTACCCATAAATATAGAGATTTGTTTTCTGTAGCGCATCGTTCAAAGAAAATAAGCTTGGGGAATCTAAAGTAAATATTTTAATCATGTCGACTGGTGTGGGTGGCATCCTGGGACAAAACTGGCCTAATTTGCCCGAAATGCTCTGCATAACAAGCTGCTTTCTATAGAGTAGTATGTCATTGATGTCAGCTAGGACTGTATACCTTGTACATGTACTTGTAGAAATAAATATTATTATTATTATTATTATTATATGCAAATTGATAGGCTACCATAGGCCTTGTGCTGATGCAGTTAAGAGACTAAGACAGTAGAAGCCAAGCTATAGCGACAAGAAGAATCTAGTTTATCTGCAGTTCTAGCATAACAGTAGCTAGGTACCTGTGTGGGTAATGGTCATAGTAAATACCTAATGAGTGGCATAGATGTTGTGAATACATATTCTCTACCAGATTATATTGTATTGTACTTCTAGGAGCGGTAAAACTGTGCGGGCCTTTATACAAAACCCTAAACATAAGTTTAATATAAAATTATTTATGTTATACCGAAATCAGTCTTTAAATTACAATCTGTGTCTGGGAGAGTTCTGAGGAAATGAGATAAACAGGAATAGCATCCACTGCTACCCAGAGTAGAAATATGCAAACTCTCAGAAATATGCAAACTCTCAGAAATATGCAACTCTCAGAAATATGCAACTCTCAGTAATATGCAACTCTCAATAATATGCAACTCTCAGTAATATGCAACTCTCAGAAATATGCAACTCTCAGAAATATGCAACTCTCAGAAATATGCAACTCTCAGAAATATGCAACTCTCAGAAATATGCAACTCTCAGAAATATGCGACTCTCAGAAATATGACTCTCAGAAATATGCGACTCTCAGAAATATGCGACTCTCAGAAATATGCGACTCTCAGAAATATGCAACTCTCAGAAATATGCGACTCTCAGAAATATGCGACTCTCAGAAATATGCGACTCTCAGAAATATGCGACTCTCAGAAATATGCAACTCTCAGAAATATGCAACTCTCAGAAATATGCGACTCTCAGAAATATGCGACTCTCAGAATTATGTATCTCTCAGAAATATGCATCTCTCAAAAATATGCAAGTCTCAGAAATATGCAAGTCTCAGAAATATGCAAGTCTCAGAAATATGCAAGTCTCAGAAATACGCAAGTCTCAGAAATATGCAAGTCTCAGAAATATGCAAGTCTCAGAAATATGCAAGTCTCAGAAATATGCAAGTCTCAGAAATATGCAAGTCTCAGAAATGTGCAAGTCTCAGAAATGTGCAAGTCTCAGAAATGTGCAAGTCTCAGAAATATGCAACTCTCAAAATATGCGACTCTCAGAAATATGCAACTCTCAGAAATGTGCAACTCTCAGAAATGTGCAACTCTCAGAAATGTGCAACTCTCAGAAATGTGCAACTCTCAGAAATGTGCAACTCTCAGAAATGTGCAACTCTCAGAAATGTGCAACTCTCAGAAATGTGCAACTCTCAGAAATGTGCAACTCAGAAATATGCAGCTCTCAGAAATATGCATCTCTCAGAAATATGCATCTCTCAGAAATATGCAACTCTCAGAAATATGCATCTCTCAGAAATATGCAACTCTCAGAAATATGCAACTCTCAGAAATATGAAACTCTCAGAAATATGCAACTCTCAGAAACATGCAACTCTCAGAAACATGCAACTCTCAGTAACAGCAAACTCCGTAACATGCAACTCTCAGTAACATGCAACTCTCAGTAACATGCAACTCTCAGTAACATGCAACTCTCAGTAACATGCAACTCTCAGTAACATGCAACTCTCAGTAACATGCAACTCTCAGTAACATGCAACTCTCAGTAACATGCAACTCTCAGTAACATGCAACTCTCAGTAACATGCAACTCTCAGTAACTTGCAACAGCATAAAATTGAATCTTTGATTTATACATAAATACTCTCCACTGTAGGGAACAATCACTCGGCGATTATTAAAATCCCACACAGTTGATCCTTCGAAGGAAAGATGAACCTTGTGGTGGGAAGCTAAGCTTGTGGTGGGAAGCTAAGCTTGTGGTGGGAAGCTAAGCTTGTGGTGGGAAGCTAAGCTTGTGGTGGGAAGCTAAGCTTGTGGTGGGAAGCTAAGCTTGTGGTGGGAAGCTAAGCTTGTGGTGGGAAGCTAAGCTTGTGGTGGGAAGCTAAGCTTGTGGTGGGAAGCTAACCTTGTGGTGGGAAGCTAACCTTGTGGTGGGAAGCTAAGCTTGTGGTGGGAAGCTAAGCTTGTGGTGGGAAGCTAAGCTTGTGGTGGGAAGCTAAGCTTGTGGTGGGAAGCTAAGCTTGTGGTGGGAACTAAGCTGTGTGGAAGCTAAGCTTGTTGTGGGAAGCTAAGCTTGTGGTGGGAAGCTAAGCTTGTGGTGAGAAGCTAAGCTTGTGGTGGGAAACTAACCTTGCTTTGGGAAGCTAACCTTGTGGTTGGAAGCTAAACTTGTGGTGGGAAGCTAAGCTTGTGGCTGGAAGCTAAGCTTGTGGTGGGAAGCTAAGCTTGTGGTGGGAAGCTAAGCTTGTGGTGGGAACTAACCTTGTGGTGGGAAGCTAACCTTGTGGTGGGAAGCTAACCTTGTGGTGGGAAGCTAACCTTGTGGTGGGAAGCTAACCTTGTGGTGGGAAGCTAACCTTGTGTGTGAAGCTAAGCATGTGGTGGGAAGCTAAGCTTGTGGTGGGAAGCTAAGCTTGTGGTGGGAAGCTAAGCTTGTGGTGGGAAGCTAAGCTTGTGGTGGGAAGCTAACCTTGTGGTGGGAAGCTAACCTTGTGGTGGGAAGCTAACCTTGTGGTGGAAGCAAACCTTGTGGTGGGAAGCTAACCTTGTGGTGGGAAACTAACCTTGTGGTGGGAAGCTAACCTTGTGGTGGGAAGCTAACCTTGTGGTGGGAAGCTAACCTTGTGGTGGGAAGCTAACCTTGTGGTGGGAAGCTATAACTCTCAGTCGAGTTTGTGGTTGCTCCTAACCCAAAGGACATGCATAAAGTGAAATTTGCTCACGACATTGATCCCTGGAGCATGTATACACCTGGAGCATGTATACACCTGGAGCATGTATACACCTGGAGCATGTATACACCTGGAGCATGTATACACCTGGAGCATGTATACACCTGGAGCATGTATACACCTGTTTCTCAGGAAATAATAGGACCCATAATATATTTACCATACTTGTTTATATCTCATTGCCAGTGAGAATTATTAGTGAATAGAAATTCCACAACAATAGTCGTAGTAAATGGGTCAGTTATTTAAACAGACGCAGATGTGACACATCTATGTCTGATGTGTTAGAGGAGAAATGTATGATATGGATGAATGTGTATGAAAATGTGTATGATATCGGATGTATATTAAAGCAATGTGGATGAAATCACTGGAATATGTATAGTATTAAGCAATGCTTAATAAATTAAGGAGTAGGCATCAATGATGAAATGTGAATCAGATGTGAATGAAGAGAAGGAATTTTTCAGAGATCAGTCAATAAATCTCTCAGGATGAGACACAATAAACATCAAATAGATTTTATAGAATTTAATTAATAGAAACATATAGAAGATAGCCACGTTTTGGATAGCAGAAAAGTATTTTTAATGTACTTCATAAGGAATCATACATAACCTTACATGACTCTGCACACCTTTAGCATAATGATGTAATATGGATAAAATGAGACAAAATTAAATTTCAATTCGAAACTTGAGACGAAGTTTCAGTCCTTTTTGGCAAATCGATAAGTGAAGAAACGAGGCAATTTCGAGAGTTGAGAGGGGAGGAGAGGTCATTTAAAGAGGTGAGAAGGTGCGGAAAGGTCATATGATGGGTGAAAAGGTAGGAGAGAGAGGTTATTTCAACTGGTGAAAAATACTAAAGGTCATTGGAAGAGGTAAAAAGCTTGGAAATAGATCATTTGAAAGGCGAGAAATATTAGATGGAGAGAAAGATTAGAAGAAAATATCTACAAACCAATAAGGATTGTTATTATTTTATTGAAAAAAGCACCTATACCTTGGCAGAGGGCACAAGGAGCTATTATTTTAGGAATGACAGTGGAACATTTCCTAATCTCAGAGATAATCTCTTAGGAATGACCAAGGAAAAATTCCTGATCTCAAGGGGGTGTTCTCTTGAGAATGACCGTGGAGCAATTCCTAATCTCACGAGATCCATTCTCTTAAGCAGTGACACAGGAACAATTCCCAATCTCACGACAGATGCCTTATCTCCTGTGCACAAAGAAACATAATCTCAGCAATGCATAACAGGAGAAATACAAGAACAGCCTCTTTCCCCTAGCATGTATGAACAAGCTGACAACTTGCTAGGGAAACAACCTAGAATCCCAGTCACTCGACGTTCCTAGGAGTATAGCTGAGAGCCCACATGTATTGCAAAAGGTATCATCACGACGTTTAACTTAGTCTCTTATAGACGAAATTCCCTAATGGAAATAAAAGTAATAATGTCTTCTTTTCCTGTATACCAATCTGTAGCAAAAACAAAAATATATGTAGCAGAGTTTTGAGATTGAAAAATCCAGGTTTTGCATAGTTTTTTATCTCAAAGCTCTGTTATTTATTTTTTTTGCCCCGGATAATTATACATGTCTTCCATAATTGTTCCTTAAAGTAAGATGCAGAACTTACTCTGAGGTGAACCAACACAATGATCCAACTGTCTAAATGCCTTGCAGCTTTCTGATTTTTTTTAGGAAAATCAATTGCTTGTCATTTGTCCTCCTGGGAAATCGCTTCCCTAGCTGCTTGTCTTCCTAGGAACATTTGGCCCCTTCTAGTTCCCTCAGTACGATTTAGCCAGACACTTGAGCTAATCTCACAAACTAGTATTTAGTCACTTGGTATTTAGTCACTTAGTATTTAGTCAACTTACTCCACAATTTGCAATAATTTAAGGTTAAGAATTAATCCAAGTTTGCCCGAAATGCCTAGCCATGCTAGGTGTTCTAGTGGCCCTCTCTGTAATTAGTATTTTATTACATGTAAACCACACAATAACCAAAATCTTTAAACCCCGCATTGTAATCCTTATAGAGAATAAACTTTGATTGATAGAAAGGTACATCCTCACATGCTTGTAATTCTAGGGGAGAAAAGGCTTTACTGGACCTCCTACGAAGGCACTGCCCCAACTACTGGATCCGTCTAGGAAGATAATGATCCTGAAACTGGATATCTTAGGATGGCAATGCCCCTCCCACTTGCCCTATGAAGGTCCTGATCCTTCTATTGATTTCTTTGTAAGGCACTGTCCCAGCTAAATGTCCCAGGAAGGCACTGAACAGCCACTAGACGGAAGAAGATACTGGTCTTGCCTCTGAAACTAGGAAGGCACTGTCCTTGCCACTTCTGCCATGAAGGCCCTGACTCTTCCAGTGGATATTGTAGGAAAGCACAGTTCCCGCCACTGGATCTCCTAGGAAGGTACTGTTCCAGCAACTTGATCTCCTAGAAAGGTACTGTCCCAGCAACTTGATCTCCTAGAATGGTACTGTCCCAGGTATTGAATCTCCTAGGAAGGCATTGGCCCAATCAGTGGGCCTTCTAAAAAGGCCCTATCTTAGCCATGGACCCTCTTAGGAAGGCACTGCTGTGAAGGCTTTGACTTGATAGCTGTGAATCCATTTAATATAATATTTTGCCCATTGCTGGCCTTCATCAAGTATACTCGTACTGTAATGGGAAAATATATGACCATAAAGCCTTTGCAAGATGAGATCAGGCTCGGAGAAAGGTTACATACGAGGCCATGAACCAGCAAGATCACGTATTGGTAAGGTCAGATGCATTCGAGAGTAGGTGGTGGGGGTAAGGAGACAAGTTTGTATATATGACATGACTCGCAGGTAATGTAGGCAATAGATCCAAGTTAACATGCACACTCCACCGTTTTGCTCGGTGATATTGGTGAGGTGGATCACTGCAGGAGTTTTAGGAAAACAAGTATCTAATGTGCTGGGAACAGCATGATTGAATGGAAATCAAAGTATCACGCTGTTATACACGTTAACTTGACAGATTTTCACTTGCACGCTTGAATTTCACTCTCTACCGTCGTCGAATTAGGGGCACCTGGTTTTGACCGTGCAAAGTTACACCGCAGAATGCTGTAGAAGTTATCAGAGTTATCCCAGAATGCTGTGAATGGGTCTTTCAACTTGGTCATAGGGTACCTGCATATTTCTATTGTTCAGGGAATCGTGATCTAGTTACCGTTCACCAGCATTGAAATTTTGAAACTGATCAGTTGAAGCGTTCCCATGTTATGAGTAAAAAAATGTTTGAGGAAGGAAATTTGAAAAAAAAAATCTGGTAACCATTTGAAGGTTCTCCATGGAAAAGACTAACATCGCCATGCGTGGCCCTACGCAGTCTTCGTTCTCACATCATGGACAGGAGAAGAGCAGAGCTGTTACGTAAGAACATAATGTAGGAACACTGCATCAGGCCTATTGGCCCATATAAGGCAAGTCTTTCTGAATAGCCCTTTCCCCTTAAACTGGATTTCTTGTACTGTCCCGGCAACAGGACCTCTTAAGCACTGTTCCAGCCACTGGATCTCCTAGCAAGATGCTCCTCTTACATCTTGTCGGAGCTGAGTTCGACGGAGGCGGTGGTGGAGGCGTCGTTACTGGCCTCGCACGACTCCTCGAACACTCCTGAAGACGACCTCACGGAGCTACTCTCCTCAGATTTGGCCCTCAGCACGGGGCTCAGCGGCGCCACCTGCAGCAGAAGGAAGAGGAGTGGTAAGTGACGGCGCTGTTCAACAGGAAAAGATCCCTAGTGAAAGAAGGATTCCTTTGGAGAAGAGGAGGAGGATAGAGGAAAGGAGGGAGTAAGGGAGAGAGAGAGAGAGAAGGAAAGGAGGGAGTAAGGGAGAGAGAGAGAGAGAGAGAAGAGGAAAGGAGGGATAAGGAAATGAAGGAAAGAATAAAAGAAGAAAGGAGACAAGGAAGGAAGACGGAAAGATACAGGAGAAGTAATAGGGCTAGTATAAGATTAAAGAAGTGGATAACCTAGAGGTTTCGACGCCGTTTTAAAAAAATAATCCGTTTGAAGAAAGCGTAATGCAGGAGGAAGAGCAGAAGGGAAAACAGGAGGAGGAGGAAGAGGAAGAGGAGGAATAGGACTGGAAAAAATGAGAGGTCAAGGGGAAATGGGTAAAGAAGAAACTGATTAAAAAAGTCCACAATACACAGTCCAAAATCTAAAATTTACCAATACCGCAAAAGATAACGTCCGAGAAAATAAAACAGAAAACTACTGTATATTTCGGCTCAGACTGAATATAGACAGCCTGTACTGTCTGCACAGACAGCCTATGCTGTCTGCCAGCTGAGTTCATATTTCGCGGCACTCAGGTGCTGCACTCTCTAGGCCTGCCCAGGTCAGTGGGACGCTGGTCCCACTCGCTCTCACTCTCTCAGAGGCCTAGACTCAGTCAAGAAGTGTCCACTCCTCTCTCCCTCGCGGGCATGGCCCATGGGCGCAAACACACAAGCCTGTGTGCCCACCACGACTTTGCAAATAAAGTCCGAAGACGTATCATTTACTCCCCGCTACCAGAAACACCAAATCTCGTTCACATGAAGACCTAGTCAGACTGAGTAACAGCACGAAATATACAGTGTTATCTTCTGGTATATTTTCTTCATATTTATTTGCTGTACATCGACAAGTGTTCATATAAGCATCTACAGAGTAATTAAATAGAATACAATGGATGGTTTAATCAAAGCTATTTTAGGTATCCTTCCCCAGTTATGTATCCTTCCCCAGTTATGTATCCTTCCCCAGTTATGCATCCTTCCACAGTTATGCTTTCTCCCCCAGTTGTGCGTCCTTCCACAGTTGTGTATCCTTTAAACTTGTGTATCCTTCCCAGTTATGTATCCTTCCCCATTTATGTATCCTTCCCCAGTTATGCATCCTTCCACAGTCATGCATCCTTCCACAGTCATGCATCCTTCCACAGTCATGCATCCTTCCACAGTTATGCATCCTTCCACAGTTATGCATTCTTCCCCAGTTATGCATTCTTCCCCAGTTATGCATTCTTCCCCAGTTATGCATTCCTCCCCAGTTATGCATTCTTCCCCAGTTATGTATCCTTCCACAGTTGTGTATCCTTCAAAGTTATGTATCCTTCCCCAGTTATACATCCTTCCACAATCATGTATCCTTCCACAGTTATGTATCCTTCCACAGCCATGTATCCTTCCACAGCCATGTATCCTTCCACAGTCATGTATCCTTCCACAGTCATGTATCCTTCCACAGTCATGTATCCTTCCACAGTTATGTATACTTCCACAGTCATGTATCCTTCCAGAGTTATGTATACTTCCACAGTTATGTATCCTTCCACAGTCATGTATCCTTCCACAGTTATGTATGCTTCCACAGTCATGTATCCTTCCACAGTTATGTATCCTTCCACAGTCATGTATCCTTCCACAGTTATGTATCCTTCCACAGTCATATATCCTTCCACAGTCATGTATCCTTCCAAATTCAAAGTATTTAGACCACAGTTTATGTATCCTTCCACAGTCATGTATCCTTCACACGTGTTATGTATAACTTACCACAGTCATATATCATTCCCAGTTATCGATAAACCGCAAAATAATATCCAGAAATATTTAAGACTAAAGTCTTTGTGTGAGCGTAATTTTAATATCCTAGTGTTCACACTCTATGGAAACTGCACTCCACACACTGGCAATAGTACAAACAGTGAGACAACACACAAAACGTTACAACTACACATAACACCGCCATCCAACACATCAGACTCATACCGATGAAAAGTACACTGTATAACATGATTATTGCTTAGGTATCAGTTATTATACCTAGATGTACACACACACACACACACACACACACAAACAACCACACACATATTTTCTCATCTCTCTCTCATAAACTATCACTATCAAACACATAAAGAAAACGAATAACAAACTGGATTAATTGATTCTCTACTTTACAATTAAGTTAAATTAACATTTTTTTTGTACATGCCACTTGTTACTTTAAAAAAAACCAGGGAACATCACCCCCAACCCCCAAAAAAAAAAAAAACTATGGTAAAATGTTTTTTTTTTGTTTGTGATTTGGTTTTGTTTTTAGTTTTTTTGTTTTGTTTTGGTTTTTTTTAAAATGTTTAAAATGTTTTTCCCCTTGTTTTTTTGTTTTTTGTTTAAATTTGTATTTTGGGATGTTTTGGGGTTTGTTTGTTATTTTTGTTGTTGTTAAATTTTTGGTTGTTGATTTGTTTGATTTTATGTTTTGTTTGGTTTTTGGATTTAATATTTTATCCCTTTTATTAAGAAATTTTTTACTTTTTTATATTAATATATATTATTATTTTTTAAAAAAAAATTAAAAAATTTTTAAGGGTAAAATTTTTTAAGGAATTTTTTAAAATTTTTATTTTAAAAATATAATTGGAAAATTAAAAAAAAAAATTAAAATATAATGATAAAAAATATATTTAAAAATATTTTAAATTTTTTATATATTTTTATATAATTAAAAAAAAAAAAAATTTTTTTTTATAATATTATATAAAAAAAAAAGGTAAAAATTAATTATTTTTTTAAAAAATTAAAAAAATTTTTTTTAAAATTTAATTTAAAAAATAGGAAAAAAAAATTAAAAATATTTAAATTTTAAAAAATTAAAAAATAAATTATAAAATTTAAAAAAATTTATAAATTAAAAAAATATAAAATTATATATATATATTTTAATATATTAATATATATATAATATATTTTTTATATATAATATAAAATATTATATATTTATATATATGAAAATATAAAAAAATAAAATTTATTTATTTTAAAAATATATTTAAAATTATATAAAAAAATATATTTTATATAAATTAAAATAATATATAATATATATTATTATATTTAAAATTTATTTTATAATATATATAAAAATATTAAAAATATATATATATATATAATTTTATAATATATTATAGTAAAAATATAATTATTATATATATATATAAAAATATATATATATATTATATAAAAATATATATTAAAATTTTATAAAATATATATTTATATATATTTATATAAAAATATATATATAAAAATAAAATTTTATAAAAATTTTATATATTAATATATATTTATATATTATTATATATATAATTTATAAAATTTATAAAAAAATTTATATATATATTTATTTTAAAATTTATATTATAAAATTAAATTTATAAAATATTTATATAATATAATTTAAAATATATATATTATATATTTTTATTATAAATTAAAATATTTATATATTTTTTATATATATTTTTTTTATATTATATTTAAAAATATTTTTATTATATTTAAAATATATTTTATTTTATATATTTTAAAAATTTATTTTATATATTTTATATATAAAATTTTTAATTATATATTATATATAAAAATTTTTTTATATTATTTTATATAATATTATATATATATATATATTTTATTATATTTATATAATATATATTTATATTATATTTATATATATATATAAATAAAATTTTATTTTATATATTAAAAATTTTTTTATTTATTTATATTATTTATATTTTTATATTTAATATATATATATATTATATATATAAAATTTTTATATATATTATATTTTATATATAAAATTTTTATATATATTTTATATATATTATATATATATAAAATTTTTATATATATATATATATATATTTTATATATTTTATATAAAATATATATATATAAAATTAAAAATTATAAAAATATATTTTATAAAATTATTTTAATATATATATAAAATATAAAAATATATATATATATTATATATATATAAAATATTTATATATTTTATATATATTATTTTTTATATATATAAATATTTATATATATAAAAAATTTTTATATTATATATATATTAAAAATAAAATATATATATTATATATATATATATTATATTTATTTTAAAATATTTAAAAATTTTTATATATTATATAAATAATTTTTAAAAAAATTATATATAAATTTAAAAAAATATATATTTTATAAAATATATAAAATAAAAAATTAAAAATATATATATATTTTATTTTATATAATTATATTTTATTTAAATATATTATATATAAATAAAATTTATATTTATTATTAAAAAATTTTATTATATTATATAATATATTAAAAAATATATATATATATATTTATATATATAATATAATTATATATATATATAAAATTTTATATAATATATTAAAATAAATTTTTTATTATAATAAAATATATATTATATTAATATATATTAAAAAAATATATAAAAAAATATATTAATTTTATATAATTAAAAAATATTTATATATTATATTTATATATATATTTTATTATAAAATTTTAAATATTAATTATTTTACCCAAATTTTTAAAAAATTAAATTTAAGAATAAAGTAAATTAAATGTTTTTTTGGGGTTTTTTAAAACCCTTTTTAAAAAAAATATAATTTAAAAAAATAAAAAATTATTATAAATAAAATAATTAATTTATAATAATTAAAATTTTTTTTTTTATTTTTCTTTTTTTTTTTTTATAAAATTTAAAAATATTATTATAAAAATAAAAAAAAAAATAACCCAAAATTTTAAATGGGGGTTTTCTAATAATTTATTATAACCCCATAAAAAAAAAATTAATTATTAAACAAAATATATAAAATTTTTTAAAAAAATATTTCAATTTTTAAACAAAGGACTTGGTTAGAAAAACAAGTCACTATAGACAGATATTAGGGCTAAAATATTAACACTCTGGTCCAAAAATAAGGTCGTAAAGGTCAAAAAAAAAATTACTCTTCATAAGAGGGACGTCAAAAAATTCTCTAGGAGTAAGCCATATTATTGGGGGTAAGAAATATTAATTACTCACCTGAAAACGATCGCTAAATATCATAAATGGTCAATTTTAGGGTTGTACTGAACGGGTTCATCATAGTATAACAAAAATTAAAATATATATAATATAGATATATTATATATATAATATATTTATATATATATATATATTATATTTATGACATGCAGATTTAAATTTATTTATAATGAAATATTTCTATTAAATTAAATATTTCACTACGTAGGCATCTATTTTTTTAATTGTTAATATTTGTTTAGCTTCCATGCAAATTAAGTATGTTTATTCTTAAAAATATATAACTTACATATACACAAAAGCTTTTGCATATATATAATATATATATATATATATAATGTATATATTATATTAAATAGTATAATAGATATATTATATATATATATAAATGTAGTTGCACCTGTTTACAAAGGTTTGGTTTACATATGCAAAACTTTATTGCGACAAAAAATTGCAGCAAAATTAAATTAGCTACTGATAATAGCGTTTATGCATCAGACTGCTCTCAAATCATAATTAATTTTATAATTTAGAGTGGAGTTACCTTCGCTGTCGAACAGCCTCGAACAGAGATCTGCTGAAGGAGACAGTGTCTGTCAGTCTGTTATGCTACTGGCTGGCACAATAGATGAATTTGAGTGATAGAATGTGTGTGTGTGTGTGTGTGTGTTGTGTGTGTGTGTGTGTGTGTGTGTGTGTGTGTGTGTGTGTATGTATGTATGTATGGTTTTTGCACAGTTGTGTGAATAGAAGCAGAGAATTATTGACTTCTGTCCCGTAAATATTTTGTCTGCGGGTGTATTGGTATCCATAATATCATGAATGTTTAAAATACATAATCGACAAAATTCTTTTTGAAAAACCCAAAACATTTATGAAAACATGTCAACGGAAAAAAATATTTACTAACTGCTACAAAATATGGGAGACTGAATATGCTATCATCGTACGCACTTAGTTGTGCTTACGAGCTCTAATAATGATAATAATAATAGTAATAATAATAATTTTTATTTCATTATAATAGTGTTTTCACAGAGATGGGTAATATTTAGTTGTGCTTGCGAGAAACCCATAGTAATGTAGAGCATAACCCTGGGTTAGTGTCCACGAGAAGTGGGAGGAGGAGGCTGGTGTGTGGTGTTGCTACATCCCAGCTACAACCACTGATACAACTACAATGACACTGACGCCTACGTTCCCACCTACAACCACATACACGCCTACAACGATACTACCACCTTCGTTTTAAGCTACAACTACTGACACAACTACAATACTACAGCCTACATTCCCACCTACAGCCACATACACGCCTACAACGATACTACCACCTTCGTTCCGAGCTACAACTGCTGACACAACTACATTACCACCCAGGTCAAATGAAGGATTCACTTGCGCTGTGATTTAACGACCAGCTCTTTGTGGAAATTTGTCAAATACATGACAGATCGTGTCATTGATTCACCATAAGTCAGCGTCTGCCCAAGTTTTAATGTTGTATTACAACATTATTCTTGTATTTATTACAACATTCAGTTTTTACAACACTGTCCAGACGGGTTCTTGTGCTTGCATGTTACCACAGAAATGCTTAGGAAGCCCACCTCCACCAGTTCACATCCCAGAGTCAGAGATCACAGTTCACCCATATGCAGAAAATCTCTGAGCCCACTACCCCATCCTCAGACGTCAACAAGCTTCACTCAACCCATCTTCAGCTCACACTCACTCAACTTAGCCTCATTCACTCGTCCTATCTTCAGCCCACCCTCACTCAACCTCCCACCTCAGTAAACCAAACACAGCTACACCTCTAGTTTGAATCCACACATTTTCTTCGCTTCCATTTACCCTTTAGTTCCTACAAATTTATTCTGAGTCAGCCTGCATACCATGGGTGTTTTGTACAAGTTTGTTTTTGGTATACTGGATGTCACCAGTTAGTTTCATGTATGTACTCGAGCATATAATTAAGTTTTAAAATTTCGAGAGGCTATTGCGTCAACGATTTTGCGTTGTTATTTGTATGTACGTACTGATTCATAGATATATAATGAAAAAATCATTTCCCCTCTTCCATTTCTTTTCTCTCCTACATAAAATTTTTGTTACCATACTTTGTAATGATGAAGATACCTTCATTAAAATTAGACTTCTCCTGTGTATGGGATAGGCCATTTAGAGAGATGATAATTCCCAAGCATCTCCAGCTCTGCTGGAACGATACCTTTGAAGCTCCAGTAGTTGCTGGACTCTGTACTTGATATCATCTTGAGTTCAACACAGAGTATGAAATTTATTCTGTTTGATGGTAAACGACAGGCCATTACAGCTTGCTAGCTTTCCTTTCCACTATGTAACTAACGTACGAATATGGCAGCAGAATACTAATGATGTATCTCATTTTCCTCTTTAAAAAAATGTGTCCTTATACTCGCGTACCATTTATTCCTTCATGCCTATTTACAAAATCAAGTTTTTCCCCTTATGTACTCTCGTACCTCCACTTGACACCTCCAGGAGACGTGACTGGCGTTGACCCTCCGGTGAAGTGAGCTTCGTAGTTCACGTTCTGTTGTCTCCACATATGTTCCAACGACCTGTTGACGATGGTCAGGTCGCCCGTGTATGCTCTTATCAATTCCTTCAGGTGGTAATATTCCTGCAGGAGAAAGGAAAGGGCACAGATGCCAGATAATGTGGGCTACTGAATCTTGCAACGTGAGGTGGGGTAGTACAGATGACTGAATGAGATAAATAGTGAGGCTTACCTGAGCCTGAGGGAATATAAAATGCAAAGGAGTTTTGTTAGTGCTGTGGGGCTACTGCTACGTCATCCACTCGAATTTAGCACATGTTTTTTTTAAAGTAATAACATTGGACATAGGATAAGAACACATGTACTGGTGAATGCTACAAACTACAGAAAAGTATTTGATGTTGCTGGAGGGATCTTACAGTATGTGTTATTAGGATCTACTATAGACTACTGAGAAAAAGACAGGGAGAGAAGGGGGGAAAGAGGGAGGGAAACAAATCTAGGATAAAAAGAATTTTGGAAATCGAAGAGAGAGGTGGAAAAGAGAAGTTTTAGTCTTATAAACAGATGGAAAGAAAGAGTGGCAGAGACGAGAGATGTAAACTGGAAGAGAGAGAAACATATAGAGGAAAAAAGTGGCGAGACTTGAGTGGGTCTTCAGTGTGTGACCCTTAAATGAGTGAGTCAGGAGTGATTGGGTCTTTTAGTGAAGAGTGGAGGTCAAATAACACGTTGATGAGAGGGACCTTGAGTGACAGGATCTTGAGTGTGCCTGGAGAGGGAGCAACACTCACCTTGGAGTGATTATCAAGGATCCAGCTGAGGTTCCTGAGGTCACTGTACAAGTTGTTTCTCTCTCTCTCCAGAGTCTTCACCATCCTCAGCAACTCAAACTGACACAATGAATATAACTCATCAAAAGTCAGGATTTATTACAAAATCAGAACGTACATAAACACACTAAGAAAAAATTACAAAATGAATATATTCTTAGAAATATTAGGTAAGAGCACATGTAAATAATTTTAATAAAAATTAACATATCCTGAAAAATACTCAACAAATTCTTAAATAAAATCTGAAATTATTAAAAACAAAAAATCAGTTAAGACGAATAAAATCTAAAACAAAACAAAAAAATCAGTGAAAAATTAAAGAAATCTACGAAAAATTAATAAAAATATTGACAATCTGAAAAAATAAGTAAAAGCAAAAGCAAATAAAAATAAATCGTTACAGATAATTAAAACGTAAGTCAATATTCAATAAAATCATAAATAAAATCTAAGACAATATTAAATGAATTCAGGATAAGATGATTACTCAGACGGAGGATCGATCCTCCACCACTTTTGGCCCTGACTCGTACGCGTTCAGCGCTTCATGGAATACAATGCCATACAACCATGATACAATACCAACCATCGGTGAAATTGTCCAGAATGAGAATCTTAGTTAAATAAAGATTGTATCTGGACAATACAATATAAAGATTGTACCTAAAAAATAGAAAATATTGTACCCGACAGTACAAAATATTGTACCCGGACAATACAAAATATTGTACCCGGACAATACAAAATATTATACCCAAGCAATACAAAATATTGTACCCGGACAATACAAAATATTGTACCCGGGCAATACAAAATATTGTACTCAGACAACACAAAATATTGTACCCGGACAATACAAAATATTATACCCAAGCAATACAAAATATTGTACCCGGACAATACAAAATATTGTACTCAGACAACATAAAAAATATTGTACCCGGACAATACAAAATAATATACCCAAGCAATACAAAATATTGTACCCGAACAATACAAAATATTGTACCCGAACAATACAAAATAATGTACCCGGACAATACAAAATATTATACCCAAGCAATACAAAATATTGTACCTGGAAATGCAAAATAAAGATTGTATTTTGACAATACAAAATAGATTATATTATACCATTTACAATCTTTATTTAACGCCGTTAGTTTTCTTACGATTTTATTACGTTAATTTATTTACACTTTTATTATGCAGATAAATAAAATTTTCATCATTTTGAAGTAAGATTAGAGTTTCTTGGATTAGGTCTGATTAGTTTGGATTGGGTTGGATCTGATTGGGTTATGTTAGATTAGATTGTATTCGATTAGTTTAGGATATCTTGGTATGGATTCCTAATCCTACTTCAATAGCAAGAAATCCCACCTGAGCATGAGGTAATCCCACTTCAACTACAAAAAAATGCCCCTTAAAGAGCAAGTAATCCCGCTTTCACTGCAAGTAATCCTACTTTAACTAAAAGTAATCCTACTTTAACTACAAGTAATCCTACTTTAACTACAAGTAATCCTACTTTAACTACAAGTAATCCTACTTTAACTGCAAGTAATCCTACTTTAACTACAAGTAATCCTACTTTAACTATAAGTAATCCTACTTTAACAGCAAGTAATCCTACTTTAACTGCAAGTAATCCTACTTTAACAGCAAGTAATCCTACTTTAACTGCAAGTAATCCCCCATGTACACCTCAGAGTACTACTCACCTCATTGTACTCGTCGAGGTCTTGGTCGTAGGTGTACTCTTGACCTGCAGATAAATGCACTGTTATTTATATATACCTAGTATATATACAGGATTAAATATAGATACTAAAATATATAGTAACGAAGGTACATGGTTAAATATAGATACTAACAAAGATACTGGGGTCAAATATAGATACTAACAAAGATACTGGGGTCAAATATAGATACTAACAAAGATACTGGGGTCAAATGTAGATACTAACAAAGAAATATGGTTCAAATATAGATACTAGCAAAGTTACTGGGGTCAGATATAGATAATACCAAAAATACTGGGGTCAAATATAGATGCTAACAAAGATTCTGGGGTCAAATATAGATAACTAAGATACTGGACCCGAAAATTATTTTAGTTGCATATTTACAAAGATGCAATAAAAGGAATTTTGAAGTTAAAGGTCCATTGTCCTGGAGCAGGTACTAACTCGGACACAGGTACATGGAGCAGGTACAAATTCGGACACGGGTACATGGAGCAAGTACTAACTCGGACACAGGTACATGGAGCAGGTATAAATTCGGACACGGGTACATGGAGCAGGTATAAATTCGGACACAGGTACATGGAGCAGGTACAAATTCGGACACTGGTGCATGGAGCAGGTACAAACTCGGACACAGGTACAAGTGTAGGTACAGTAGGCTCACTTTCTTGATTATACCTGTCAACTTCGCAGAAAGACGGGAAAAAAATTTTTTGCAAGCACGGGATGCAGGTGTAAGTACGTTCACAGGTGCAAATATGGACACATGTGTACGGGAACAAACACAGATGTATTTACATAGGTACAGACATGCGTGTAATAAGCTGGAGTTGTTTGTACTGTGAAAAAAAACGGTAAAAATAACTCAATATTGAAAATATTTCGGTCAAACCCTAGTACGTGTAGACAGAACTCAGCCTGACTGTACCACATCTCTCGAAGGAAAATGAGAGGGGCACTGTGAAGGACTCTTGATGCAAAGAATAAGAACTACCCTCTTCATTCGATCAAAAAACATTATCTTCCCTTTCTATTCACTGTTTATCTTCTACTAGTTTTATAATTAGTAATAATTTAAATATACTGCAACGAGAAGTGTTAATAACTGTGTGTGTGTGTGTGTGTGTGTGTGTGTGTGTGTGGTGAGAGAGAGAGAGAGAGAGAGGGAAACAGATCACAGAGAAAAATGTGTCTACAATATCTAGGTTACTTATTTAAAATATCGAAAGTACTATCTACTACAATTATTTCTACAACTACTACCTAGACAGATGAAGTAGGAAAGGAGAAAAATCTCTTCCCGCTTTCTATCTCCTTCATTTACACTGTCAGAATTAAACAAATTGAAAAAAAAAAGTTAAATTCGTGTTGTAGTGAGAATTGGGTACTGGGATTTTCTAGGTAAGGATGTAAATAAGCCCGATAGTGCATGCAACCCAAGGTGCCATTGCTTATACTAGTATATATACACACTGAGTTATATACTATATCTGTGTATATACGCTGAGAGTTTAATCCTTACTAGGGGGATTTAATGAATCATTGACACGCAGTATGACCAACTTGCTTATACAGCTATAGCTTTATAGCCAACATACAACAGGTAAATAATACTACCCCCCATAAGCTGCTCAAAATGGAAATATAGTTACCCACACAGCTACGCTGAACCTGATTCAAGCTACCCGCACGCTTACACATCCTTAATTTATCTACCCACAACTATACAACATGAGTCCACACGAGGCCCCAATTGTCGGTACAACTACAATTCACCTTTAACTACATAAAATAGCACTGCAACTACCCATATAACCTTACACTACCTCTACATGCACGCCCCAACTACAATCCAGCAAAGCTTTTACGACTTTAGTTAAAGACAGTGCTCCCACATTGCTTTCATTATGCATATACTCCACAGTGAACATCGTGTGCGCTACCTGCGAACACTGTGTGCAGAAACTCAGCCCAGCGTGTGTGCACGAACTGAACACAGAGCTTGCACAAGCTACATATAGTGTGTACATATCTCCAGACATCGTGTGGATATATTTGTGTACATAGCGGGTGATATATGCTCACAAACGGACTCACATACACAGAGTACTGATGCTGAGGCCCCGTTGATATACTGTTAAAACAATAATAATAACAAAAATAATAATAGAAATGAAAACATTGAAATCAAATTTTATTATATTGAAAAAAAAAAAAACATTTAAGAAAACATAATGATCAACTTAGCTAGAACGTCTTCATTTCTCAAAGTGTTGGTCCTGAACTCTCCAGACCTCAAGTCCGATTAACCTGCTTACCTAGACCACATCAGAGATATTAACTTCCTCATACTCCAACAGCACGTCAAATTCACAAAAAAGACTGCTTGCACTCACTCATTTCTATCACGTTCACTGTCTCTGACGTCCCTTACAAGTTCTATCAACCTCATATGTAAATACTTTTTATTACCTTCCCTTTCGACATTTTTAATAGACTGAACAGTTTCAACGTCCACTATTACGATCGTTAAATTACACCTTTCATAACACCATATGTTACGTGCCTATGAATGTCTTGCATAAATTTTACAAATCACTGGGGTTGGGAGTTTACAACTATGGTAGCATGCAAGATTCTGTCATTACCTCATAACTGTGAAAACAGCAAAAGCATTCTGCTTAAAATAACACACATCTTCTCTTAATCATTTGAGTTGTATTTGTAGTAAATCTTATTGGTTATGGAAGTTCCAAGAGGAAAGACCTGGTAAGGGGTTTCCCTTTCTGGCTGCCCTCCTCACCTTGAATTGTGTAATTATGCTTCTAAAGCGATAGCGTCAATGGAAGCCTTTCTGTCCTCTTTCTTCTATAAACAAACTCAGAGTCAGTTGGTCTTAAGAGTCACGTAAGTTCACCTGTCTTCTGATAACATGTTCATTTTTTTCAACTATAAACTACCTTGTCCATGATTAGTATCGTATCTGCTTTGTCTGTTTCCTAAGGTGAAGCCCAGGATCTTTCTTTAATTCACGGTATAACTGCGATAGTAATTATGGACAAGGTAGATTATAGTGGAAAAATGAACTTTTTATTAGATGAAGGGGGAACTTACGTGCCCCTTAACTCATTGACTGGAAATGCTGCTGAGCTGCTGCTCAGTGAATCATTTATTTATTTATATGCACGTACGTACGTAGAACTTACACTGTTATGTGTTGGACTGATCTTCAGAGATGTGGTTGTGACCGTAACATTGTCTTGTGTACACTTAGACTTGTACACTAGGTGAGATCACTATTAGTCTTATTTTGAACTTAAAATATTTATTGGACTTAAGATATGTTTTATGATAGTTGATGTACTTATCCTCTTGTTTGATTGAGATCAATTTTGGAATGTTCCTGCCTTGCTCTTGCCTGGGCATTAGTGACTGAGTTCAAGGGTATGTCATTTTAAGACATACCTTTCCTGTCAGTCACAACTGGTTCTCATATAAGATAGTATATATTACTGGTTCTAATGCATATTGTGTGCTATTCTAGAAGTCCTTATAAAGTAAATCTAGCAGCTTTTACACTGTTTTGCTAATTCCATAAACAGGTGTTTAAGAAGTGAGCTTTTAATTTCAAACAGTAATGGAAGTGTTTACCACAAGTCCTAATAGAATATTAGTTACACAATCGTATCATATCACATTATCTAATTCTTGTAGTCATTATATTTTTGCGCAATTTTCACAATGCATATTAATTTTATACACAATATTTCGACCGTCTCCAGCCTCCTCTTAGCTGTAACATTCAAAGACCATGACACACCCAGACATCATCGACACCCATGCTGAAATGTGAACACTAGGCTCTGGTGCATTTACCTTCATGCATCTGCTGTGAATCTTTTTCTTCACAGAGCCTCAGCTCTCCTAATACTTTTTGCCCCCAGATATTCTGTGACTGAATTCCTATTTCATAACCCACATAACACACAAACCTAGACACATTCACTTCATATATTTTTTAGTTTAATGTTTTTCATTATCTGAATTTCTTCTTATCACCTTGCATCTTTTAGTTCACCTTCAGCTTTGTTTCTTACACACCCTTTCAAGCTTCTTTCCCAGTTTCTGCATCTTCTCTTCCGAATCTCCCAAAAGCACTTCAGTAATCAGCAAATAACTGTGACCACAAGTTCACATCAGATTTCTTCACCTCAAGAGTCAGGGACATTAAGGAAATGGACCTCTTCCTTACATAGCTGAAATACAAATGCCTCTCATTATCACAGGCGCTGTATGACCCCTATGGGTTTAGTGTTCTACTTACGAATGCAATAACATCAGATTCCTCATCCTTAAAGCCCATACATCTCCCCAGAAACAGATTTCACTTCTATTACAACGCATGCAGTATTAATGGTTGATTAATTACATTAATTACTATAGCAAATTAGCAACACATTACACTATGTAAAACATTTATTGCTGCTAGAAAATAAAGGCAGTAAGACACTGAGAGGTACTTTAAGAAGCAGCGGAAGACTGCAATATACAACTACAAGAAGCAAAGAGGACTACAAATTTAAAACAAATAAGACTAGTATAGAACTGAATAAAGACTTACCTCGCTTGATTTTCTCCCTGGTCTTGTCAACTTCAGCAAGGTACCACGTGGTCTGTTCTTCGAGCTTGTCATTAAGCTCAAGCTGAGCCTCGTACCTCAGCTTGTACTCGCTACCTGAAGTACCCAAATCATGCTTCTGATAAGAATATTATATACAATAATAATATCAGTATTAAAATAGCTTCTAATACTAATTCTGTTGGTACTGCTGTTACTATTATTACTAACATTACTATTACCACTACTGCTATTTCTACTACTATTGCTACTGCTTCTATTATTACTACCACCATTACTACCTACTACTGCTGCTGCTACTACTGTTGTTGCTACTACCATTACTACTACTACTGCTGCTACTACTGTTGTTGCTACTACTATTACAACTAACAATTACTGCTACCATTACTATTACTATTCCCCTCAAGGGAGGTTCCTTGAAGCTGACGAGGGGCTCTTGGTCTAAGGAATTAGATCTTTGCTCCGGTTCCCTGAATTGAGCCTTATACTTTCCATCCCCCCCCACAAGCGCTGTATAATCCCTACGGGTTTATGATTATAATTAACAAGACCATGATGTAAGCGAGGAATTTGCTACTGTCATGGACCCACCAAATGCTTTTGACAAAGTGGATTATTAATTCTGAGAAAGATGTTTCCTGATAGAAGATTTCCTCGTAATGTATATTTTAGTTTACATTGTTTTTGAAGCCAGGAGGAATGAAGAGAAAAGATGATTTTCTAAACTTGAGAATAATGTGAGAGAAGTGAACAACTTCTCACTAATGCTTTCAAAGTATATTGATGAAAAAGCCTCTGTGGAAAATGATGATATAAAGGATTCAATTTCTTAGATGTTCAGATTAGAATTCCCGCAGTTGATTAAATTTAAGTTTTTGATTTTAGAAGGCCTTAGGAGATGTTTGAAATGGGTAGTTGATACTGAAACAGCTTAACTAGTTGTTCAGGTGCGGTTTGGTTTCAAAAGTTGGATAAGTACATGATGGCAGGATAGGATTTCGTATTTTCCATCAGAGCTTACGTGATTGAAATAGTTGGGGCATGTTTACTATAAGTGAGAATGTAAAACCCCAAAAATAATTAGTCTTTTTGTTTTTAAGATTTAAGAGAGATGTGTATAAATTCTCTGCGTGTTACTTTATTTGTTAATAAAGCAGATTTATAGTGGAGACAACTAATATTCTATTGTGAGGATGATTATTTGCTGATTTGGACCTGTATTGATGCTGTGTGGTACGACCTATTGTAGTTGCTGTTGATTGTCACTATTTGTTGCATCTGAATGGTACCCATTAGTGCATGCTTACGTTATTTTTAATATTGTTGACTGATCAGTTTTACAATATAAATTCACACCAATAGATCCCAATATGTCTTTAAAAAGCATCGGAAGGATTACTAAATTTAAAATACAATTCCTAAACCGGTTTAAATTTATATTTTATCTAAGGAGTTATTCAGTTGGGTTATTCAGAAATAGTTAATACCAATGCTGCTACAAATACTATAACTATTATTGCTGTTACTTCTGCTACTAATGCTGCCACTACCTTAACTGTTGTTACTACTACAACTGCTACTACTGCTCTTACTACTATACTATTAATGCTACTACATTGGTTAATATTACTAATGCTACGACTAATTCTGGCATTACGATTAATGTTATGGCTATTATAACAACTAAAACTACTACTACTACTATTAATGCTAATCTACAAATACTATTCCTCTTCTACTACTGCTACCATTGCTGCTATAGTTACACTACAACATAAGAACAGCAACTGCCTATATTTATGGCAAACCTTGCAGAAAAACCTAAACACTGAACAAAAGAACGTCTCTGACCTTCTCCTGTGCCTTCACCAAAGTTTTGCAGTTGTTTCTCCAGTTCCTGGACACTCTGCTCCAGCATCCCTACTGACCACTGGATCGTGTCCCTGGGGGGAGGAAGAGCAGGGTTGGGTGTTAGTAGGCTGAAGTTGGGAGAGTAGTAGGCCTAGGGATGCCAGCAAGCAGAAGCTGAGAGGGTATTAGTTCTGTAAGGGTTAGGCTGAATCGAATCTGGAAAGGTAATAGGTCTAGGTGTTAGGAAGCATGGAAGCTGGAAGGATAGTAGGTTTAGAGGTTAGTAGGCTGCACCTGGAAGTTTAGTAGGTTTACTGGAGCTAGGAAGAATCTGGGAGGGTTGTAAGGTAGTAGCAGCAGGGTGTTAGTAAAGAGAAGCTGGGAGGGTAGTAGTAGATTTAGGGATAATAGGTTGAAGCTGGGAGGGTAGTAGTAGGTTTAGGGATAATAGACTGAATCTGGGAGGGTAGTAGTAGGTTTGGGGATAAGAGACTGAATCTGGGAGGGTAATAATAGGTTCAGGAGGGGGCTAGTAGGCTGAAACTGGGATGGTAGTAGTTGGTTTAGGGGGATAAAAAACCGAATCTGGAAGGGTAGTAGAACGTTTAGGTAGTTAGCAGGCTGAATCTAAGAGGGTAGTAGGCCTGTGGGTGCTAGTAAGCAGAAGCTGGAATGGTAGTAGTAGGTTTAAGGGGTTAGTAGACTGAATCTAAGAGGTTATTAATAAGTTTAGGGAGGGTACTGTAGTAGTGTGGTCCAGTGTATAAGAGAGGAAAAAGAAATTAAAGGATTTCTACTCTCCTGACACCTAAATTTGTCTCGTTGTTGGGAAAATCAACATACAAAACTTTCGTCTGTATGGATGACAGTTTTGGATGATTTTAGTATGCTTATTCAGGTACAGGTAGACATAAATACAGTTATATAAATTGTCATACATAGCAGTATATGTGTAGATTACCTAGAATAGCCCCAAAAAGTCAAAATTATCTCAGGACAACCAGTGGACCTCCTTATCTGGGACTGGTGTTGGTAGTTGTAGGTGTGTTGGTAGTTGTAGGTGGGTGTTGGTATTTGTAGGTGGGTGTTGGTAGTTGTAGGTGGGTGTTGGTAGTTGTAGGTGTGTGGTAGTTGTAGGTGGGTGTGGTAGTTGTAGGTGGTGCTGGTAGTGTGGGATGAGTATTGGTAGTTACATATGGTGTGGTAGTTGTATGTGTGTGGTGGTGTTGGTAGTTGTAGGTGGGTGTTGGTAGGTGTGGGATGAGTATTGGTAGTTACACATGTGTGTTGGTAGTTGTAGGTGTGTGTTGGCACTTGTAGGTGTGTGTTGGTAGTTGTAGGTGTATGTTGGTAGTTGTAGGTGGATGTTGGTAGTTGTAGGTGTGTGTTGGTAGATGTAGGTGTGTGTTGGTAGTTGTAGGTGGATGTTGGTAGTTGTAGGTGGGTTACCTGGAGGTTACCTGGAGGTTATTCCGGGGATCAACGCCCCCGCGGCCCGGTCCATGACCAGGCCTCCCGATGGATCAGGGCCTGATCAACTAGGCTGTTACTGCTGGCCGCACGCAGTCCAATGTACGAGCCACAGCCCGGCTGATCCGGCACTAACTTTAGGTATCTGTCCAGCTCTCTCTTGAAGGCAGCCAGGGGCTTATTGACAATTCCTCTAATTCTTGATGGGAGGCTGTTGAACAGTTTTGGGCCCCGGACACTTATGGTGTTTTCCCTTAGTGTACCAATGGCGCCCCTACTTTTTATTGGAGTCATTTTGCATCGCCTGCCCAGTCTTTTACTTTCGTAGGGGAGATGATTTCTGTGTGCAGATTTGGGACCATTCCTTCCAAGATTTTCCAAGTGTAGATTATGATATATCTCTCCCTCCTGCGTTCCAACGAGTACAAGTCAAGTGCTTCCAAGCGTTCCCAGTACTTAAGGTGCTTGACAGAACTTATACGTGCAGTAAAGGATCTCTGTACACTCTCTAGATCTGCGATTTCACCTGCTTTGAATGGAGATGTTAATGCACAGCAGTATTCCAGCCTAGAGAGAACAATTGATTTGAAAAGGATCATCATTGGCTTGGCATCTCTCGTTTTGAAAGTTCTCATTATCCATCCTATCATTTTCTTTGCACGTGCGATCGTGGCACTGTTGTGATCCTTGAAAGTGAGATCCTCAGACATTACTACTCCCAGGTCCCTTACATTATTTTTCCGCTCTATTGTATGGCCGGAGTCAGTAGTATACTCTGTTCTAGTTATTATCTCCTCCAGTTTTCCATAACGGAGTAGTTGGAATTTGTCCTCATTGAACATAGTATTCTTTACCGTTGCCCACTGGGAAACTTGGTTTATATCTTCTTGGAGGTTAACCGCGTCCTCAGCAGATGACAGCCTCATGCAGATTCTAGTATCATCCGCAAAGGATGATACTAGAATCTTGTGGAACAGAGCTCTTCACTATGGCAGCCTCCGATTTAACTCTGTTGACCACTACTCTTTGTGTTCGATTTGTTATGAAGTTGAAGAGCCATCTCCCTACTTTCCCAGTTATTCCTTTAGCACGTATTTTATGGGCTATTACGCCATGATCGCATTTCTCAAATGCTTTTGCAAAGTCTGTATATTACATCTGCATTCTGATTTTCTTCCAGTGCATCCAAGGCCATTTCATAGTGATCCAGTAGTTGTGAGAGGCAGGAGCGACCTGCCCTGAACCCATGTTGCCCTGGATTGTGCAGATTTTGAGAATCCAGGTGATTTGCAATCCTGCTTCTTAGCACTCTTTCAAAGATTTTTATGTGGGACGTCAGAGCTATTGGTCTATAGATAGTTCTTAGCTAATGCTTTGCTGCCACCTTTATGGAGTGGGGCTATATCCGTTGTTTTAAGTGACTGTGGAATTTTACCCATGTCCAAGCTCCTCCTCCATAGTGTACTTAGGGCACGCGAGAGGGGTTTCTTGCAGTTCTTAATGAAAACAGAGTTCCACGAGTCTGGGCCCGGGGCTGAGTGCATAGGCATGTTGTCAATGGCTTTTTCGAAATCTATCGGAGTTAGGGTAATGTCGGAAATCTGGCATACATTTATGGAGTTTTGAGGCTCATTCATGAAGAAATCATTTGGGTCGTCGATCCTCAGACCGATTAGTGGTTCACTAAACACAGAGTCGTACTGGGATTTCAATATTTCACTCATTTCCTTGTTGTCATCTGTGTAAGTCCCATCCTGTCTGAGTAAGGGCCCGATACTAGATATGGTATTTGCCTTGTTTTTGGCATATGAAAAGAAATATTTTGAATTTCTTTCAATTTCACTAATAGCTTTAAGCTCCTCCTGCCTCTCCTGGTTCCTGTAAGAGTCATTTAACTTAAGTTCGATAGTTTCCACTTCCCTGGTCAGCGCCTCCTTTCGTGTATCAGATATTCTAGCACTCCTGAGGTGTTGGTAGCTGTGGGATGAGTATTGGTAGTTACACATGAGTGTTGATAGTTGTAGGTGAGTGTTGGTAGTTGTAGGTGAGTGTTGATAGTTGTAGGTGAGTGTTGGTAGTTGTAGGTGTGTGTTGGTAGTTGTAGGTGTGTGTTGGTAGTTGTAGGTGTGTGTTGGTAGGTGTGTGCTAGTAGTTGTAGGTGGGTGTAGGAAGATCTAGGCTAGGGTATCCTTCTGTGGTTCAGTTAACAACGCACATCTCACATACTGAGTGTCCGTGATTCGATCACCGGCACGGCACGTGTGTAAACATTGGCCATATTTCCTTACACCTGCTGTCCCTTTTCACCTAATAGTAAGTAGGTACTTGGGTGTTAGCCGATTGTTGTGGGTCTCATCCTGGGGACAAGACTGAAGGGCCAAAGTGTAAATGAGACAGACTTCGATAACGCACTGACTTGCTAGGATTGTCCTGGGTGGCTAACCCTCCGGGTTAAAATTCTCAACAAAATCTTACCTAGGTGGGTGCAGGTAAGTGTAAGGTGGTGTAGGAGGGTGTAAGGGGGTACTGCTTGGTGTAGGTGAGTGTACGTGGATGATGGGTAGACGTATGTGGGTAATGGGTGCATGTGCGTGGGTAATGGGTGGATGTAAGTGGGTGAGGAGTGGATGTACATGGGTGTAGGTTAGTGGTAGTGGGCGTAGGTGGGTAATAGTGTTTGTAGACCAGTCTATGTATAATACTGGTAATAATGTGGAACAATATAGTGGAACGATATTGTGTAACGAATATAATGTGAAAGAAAGATAATGTGGCATATTTAATGTGTATTCTTGGAAGTACTTAGGTAGTCATGGTAACACACAGCGTGAGGGAGAGAGGGAGAGAAAGAAGAAAGAAGGAAGGAAGGTGGAAGAGAGAGAGAGTGAGCTCGCCACCACCGATTGCAATGCTCTTCTCCAAGGGGATGTTGACAACCAAGTGAAAGCCTTCACTGGACACATCCTTAATCTACAACAAGAACACATTCCTCACCGGCAATATGTGACGAAGCCTACAGATCAGCCTTGGTTTGGCTTTCGTTGTAGAGAGGCTGATATTGCTAAGTACAAAGCATGGCGAAGGTATAAGAGACATCCTACCACCTATAACAGGAACTTGCACAGGCAAGCCTGTAGGCATATGGGTGACGTTCAAAAGTGGGCCATTGCTAAATGGGAGGTGGACACTAAAAGAAAGCTAGCATCAGGTAGGGTAGGCTCCAAAACCTGGTGGTCCCTGGTCAAGGACAGACAAGGTTATCTACCTGATGAACTCATTCCACCTCTAAATCGACAGGATGGGACCACCTCTACTAGTAGTCAAAAGAAGGCGGACCTCTTGCTGAACACTTTGCTACCAAAATGCAAGTTCCTGATCCAGCAAGGGACCCTCCTTGGCTAGCTGCAAGAACTGTGTCAAAACTGTCAGTGGTGACAGTAAGGCAGGAGGAGGTGCATTTCCTTCTTAAATCGCTTGACCAAGAAAAGGCTGTGGGCCCAGACAAGTTGAGCCCAAGATTGCTGAGATGTGCAGACCAGCTAGCAGCACCTCTAACTCGCATCTTTCAGCACTGCCTAGTACAGTGTAAATGGCCCTCTCTATGGAAAGAGGCAAATGTAGT